GCCACCGCTGCATGACGAGCGCGCGAGTTAGCCCTGAATTCAGAGGCTTTATTGACACTTCGTGCCAGCAAGAATTCGTGTCCTCCTCAATATGACAACTTTGTTTAAGTATGTGTTCGCTTGCTTATAAAAAGAAAAAGCAAAATCGACAGTCGTATTATTTCCAACTGCCTGCCTTACCAGAAAATAATTGCTGACTGAACTATTTCTAAGTTGATAAAAAGTAAACATGTGTCTTCAAATATAGCAGTTGGAAGAGTCACGATTCAAGCTTCTGCAGATCAAAGCTTTCTTCGAAAGATTTATAACCGTTTATTCAAATTGAGCATTAAAACTATTCAACAAGTATGTGAAAGAACTTTGAAAAGCACAACTAGTGTGAATGTTATTGACACCCTGTGACAAAGAGTACCAGATTTGCGCCCTGAAGTATGAGTAATTGCTCCTTCTTCAAAAATCACCTGAACGACTGTCACATCGGAAGCAGAATAGAAGTGATAGTCGCCGTAACTTTAAAGCTTGAGACAATTTAAACAGCTAAAACGGAACTCAAAGTGAAACGATTTTTCGATAAAACAACATCTCAGTTAGGCAATGGAGTACTAATGCATGTAACTTGCTTATGTTCACAAATCAAACATCTGTACCAACACATAAGTGTAGCCTAGTACTGATAATGGGCTCCTAAGAAATGATTGTCTGAGGTATTAAAGAAGAGCATTAGCCTGAAGTTCCATCGTGAAAATCAGAGGTGCTGATGTTCGCACATGCAAAACGTCATTCTCCATAAAGTTGGACGTGCTGATCACACCACCGAAGGCCATTGTAGCGTCTTCTGAAGATTGAAAATTTCCAACAAGGAAATAGAAACATAAATAGAACAAAGAAATAAGTAATGTAAGCAGATGAAGTGGAGACACTACACTGCACGAAAACCATTGATTTACACCTCGACGTGTATAAAGGGTGGGACAGAAGGGCGACTGGGAGAAGGGAAGAGGTGCAACACTACTTTCTTCTTTTTTCTTCGCTTCAATTACTTCGCATTACACGTCTTTTTTCTCGACCAAATACTTCCATATGCAAAATGAATTGCAATGAACACTCTAGACAATCATTTGACTCCAGCTGATACCTAGACTTAGCTTTTTCGACAAACAAAAACATAATATTCTATCTGGGAAGTTTGATGCGACATTTGAACTTTGTGAGAGGATATCGACTTCTTCACTGTCCTACGTCCTCCTAGACTGTGCTCAAACTAAATAAAGGATAAAGGATAAAGCATTTGCCGTTGATCAATCCCTTTTTGGGATGCGGCACGCATTCTACTTCCATTTGTACATTCGTAGTGGCGTTTGAATGCGATGTGGCCTATACAATGACTTGCGGGGGCCAGCCGATGTACAAGTCAGTGTTTTTATCCTCCCAGACAAGTCTGGTACCAATTAACCGACCCCGGAGGGATGGAAGGCTTGGTTGGCCCGGGCGACTCACGACCCAGGATTTGATCCCCGGACCGCTCGCGTGGTAAGCGTGCCACTTGCCACTACACCACTTCCGCCCAAACTAAATAATAGAAGGAATTAATGCAAATGGAAAGTTGCATTGAGAAGGCGAGGTCATTAGGTCAACGTAGCTAATACGACATGTATCTTTCTAAACGCACCGTGGAACGCTGAGCCCAACGCATGGGATCGCTTCCTTGGCGGGCTTACTCTTTTGC